TCTGTAGTGGCAGTTTTGCGGTCCCTGATTATATTTTCTACGACATATGCGTCCACATTTTTGGATCGCTATTCCTACCAAACGGTTTGAACTGTATTTAAATGCGTTTAGACTGATTTACGATGTGGTCAGTACTGATTCTTGTATGTGATATTTCTTCTTATTGCCTTGTAAATTAGATCATTCCGGCTATGGTAGGAAACTTCTAAATACCATAGATTAGGGTGAAGAATAATGGTAAATGAAGTGAAAAACTATTCATAGCCCTCTCAAGAGTACAGCATAGGCGAAAAATATCAAAATAGGATCTAGTATTACTTAGCAGCGGTCTAGGTTGCCATACCTCATACCAGAACATACAGAGAGAATGCACCCAGGTGATGCTTAGAAAAAAGGAGAAAAGTAGTTGAAACGCATCAAAAAAGAACAAAGAGAAATGAGATAGTGCTAAAATCCTGTATGAAAATGAGGGTGAAGATAATGTGTGGATGCATCTGGACCGCTGACTTCGCTTCTGAGCCAAATCACCCAGAATATCTAGCCCCAAGTTTCTGTTGTCAAGTGGACCCCAACAGCTGAGACTAACAGCCTAAGACTTCATGGACTGATGCTATATTTTAGTTTGGGAGCTTCTAAGCTGTGTCCAGTCTGGACTTGCTTCAGGTAACACTGAGTGACGGAGCAGACAGTGGCCAGGCACAGATAACACGTGTGCCAGCTGCCCAAGTTGATGAACGTTCACAGCCTGATCAAATGACTGTTTTCTTCCTAAAGCTCTACGTACGTGGTGACCCAACTATAGCCTACAGTATAAATGCAGTGGTGGTCGAACATATGGGTTTTCTCATGTCTCCTACCTTTCATGGACACGTTTCACAGCCGTTTAGTAGAACATGGCAAACCGGTGTAGTACACTTGGCACTTAGTAGGCAATCGGATATTATAACGGTGTTACAAATGATGTAAGCTGGTCAATGTCAGGCCGACCTTATGTATCTGTGAGAAAACTTCGTCGTTTACTGGCCGACGAAGGTTGATCAGATTTGCAAGTTAAGTGGCATAAATGATGCGCCAAATCAATTCACTCTCTGTTCTTGAATGGGATACCAGAGCAAACATGTCCTGAAGTAACAACAGGCAATCTGGCGGTGAGAAAAGCATCTTATATATTCTCACAGTGTCCATAAGACTTTGCATCTTGCCGTCATATTCATCGAAGGGGATTACGCCACCTGCTTCCTCCAAATATAGTAAAAAGTCTCTTGAAACGAGATCAATCTCTTTAAGTAAGACGACGAGAAAGAGACCACAACTAGCACTTTCATAGCAACGAAATAAGAAAAAAGACAGTGCGCATCTTTGACGGATACCAATCAACGTACACAACTCACATGATGATTCACTACAGTCTCAAAAATACCCACAAGTGTTCCTCTAAGAGGCTGCGACAAAGTGATGCACTTACCTGAAACCTCTTTTCAGTAAGAGACACTACCAGAAGACATCTCGATTGACGGAGTCGAATGGAGGCTTCAGGTCGACAATTACAGCTACTTTCGGGCATCGGTAAGTGTACCTGTGTTACAGAACTTGATGAAGGCATAATATCAAGTCAATGCGCACACCGACGAACAGGTCTGAAACCTACCTTGCTTCCCCTGGTTTGCTTTTCTGAAGCTCCACTTACACTTCTGACGATAATATAACCTAGAATCTTAGACACTGTACTCGTCAGACTGTTTCCCATGTGCGTATCATAAAGGGAGTTCTCCTCCTTCTTGGAGACTGGGACTGTCAGTGATTGGGATCAGTCGGAGGAGATCCTATGTGATTCCAATACGCTATGTGGCATTCAGTTAAAATGATTTAAAATCCCCGACCAACCTTTATTCGAGTATCAACAGAAGTGTATACAAACTGAAAACACCAGATACAGATATCGTAGAGTTGAAAACAGTTACATCCAAATAAATTGATTAAAAAACATTTGTGTAGTATTAGAAAAGAGTCAAAGTAATGATATTTGACCCAAAGAAAAGGCAGGAAACGTTTCAGTAGCCGCAAACAAGATTTTCATTACTTGTCCCTTGGGTCATTAGTGGATCACAAGGCTTCAGTAGCACGTCTCCATTGCACTCTGTTCTCTGCAGTCCTTTCAACCTGGCTCCACGACTGTCCACAAGGTTTCATTTCTTCGTCACACCATCTCCTCCTTGTCACCCTCGGACGCCCAACTCGTCGTTTCCCATGCAGGCACCACTCGACGACCTGGCCTGGAGCGTGATGTCTCCGAATGGTTTTCTCAGTGTATGCCCAATCCAATGCAATCCATCTCCACTTTCTTCTGTATATTTGTTGGGCGATGGGTCTTTGAATTGGTTCGTTGCCAACCAGATTTCCCTATTGCTTATTCCTTCTGGCCATCTGATCTTCAGTATTGAGTGAGCATAGGCGTCAGCTGTTCATGTATGTCTGTAGTTTCGTAACGCCCCAAGTCTGTCAGCCATCACAAAGAAGCACTGACTTGACGTTGGTGTTGAAAATCAAGATCTTGTTCACGCTTTATGCTGAGTGGAGTGCGGTGCACTAGATCTCCACACTGATTTCAGATTAATGAAGGCCTGTCTTGGTGTCTTTCCGATCCTGGCTTCGGTATCCTCATCCGTGCCTGTGCCGCCTGTAGGTAGTTGAAACGATGCTGTCCTGCCTAGGTAGGTGAAGGAGACTACGTCCTTTAGGTTTCTCCCGTTGATGGTCATCGGTGCTTGTTGTTGTTGTTGTTGGTGGTGGTGGTGGTTGGTTGGTTGGGTATCTTCATCACCTCTAACTTCTCTACGTTCACTTGAAGTCCCGTCTTCGTTGTCTCTTCTGTCAACTTGTTGGTTTTTGCCTGTAGATCCTCAAGTTTGTACGACAAGATATTAGATATAAATAATCATCGTTGGCGAAATCCAAATCTTCGTCTGGAGTCTTTTCATCGGTCAAACAGCGTATGTCCCTCTTCTCGCTCCTCACAGTTGGCTGTTGCATGATTCGATCCGATCCAATCCAGTCCAGTCCAGTCGACCACAATCAGGAAGATCATCGGTGATAGTAAGTAGGTGGCAACCTTGTCTTACTCCTGTCCCATGTCTTCACTTCAAAGGAATCACCTAGCTTTCCATTATGAATCACTTGGCATGTAACACCATACAGCATATAGCTGCTGTTGAATGAGGTTGATAAAGCTTTGTCTCAGTCAACGCTATCCAAGGCCTTTTCAGAGTCGATGAAGTTAAGGTAGAGTTGAGTTGACTGCCATTCTATGCTGTGTTCTATGATGATGCGTAGCGTAGTCTTGCCACTCGATCCGCACATGATTTGCTTTTCCTGAAGCCAGCCTGTTCCTGTTGTAATTTTGAATGCACAGCATTTATTTGGACTCTCCAGGATGATGCGGCTTAATATTTTGCTTGCGGTGGACAGGGACAGGAGCATGATTCCGTGCAAGTTCTTGCAAACACTTAGGTCTCCCTTCATTGGGAGTTTGACAAGGTAGCCCTTCTTCCAATCAACCAGCAGCTATCTTTCCTTCCTTCCAAACCTTCTGCAACAGTGGCATCAGCATGTCCGCTGCCCATGTCTCTCCGTCTGTTTTCAGAGCTTCTGAAGGAATTCCATTTGGTCCTGCTGCTTTGCTGGATGGATTTCATCAACTTTATGGAGTTCAGGACTTCACTTCTGCTTTTGTCGGGGGGCTTGTGTTCACTGGTAATTTTGTGGCTGGGCTGTTCGTGGTACTTCTAGACGAGTTGCAGGTGGTGGTGGTAGTAGTCAATTTTAAGAGCTGTTTGAAGTCACCAGCACATTGCTTCCCTTGTTTCTCCTCTCTGGTAACTACGTCCTCTTCACTATCTTTCATGGGTTTCGTCTGCATTGACCTCTCCCCTCCCAGATAGTAATAGTAACCTGGTTGTTTGATATAGTGTTATCAGGTCTCTCTCTCTCTCTCTCTCCTACCTGCAGCCTGTCCTGCTTTACTTGCCAATGTGTCTTTTGTCTTTGCGCGCACTCTTCTTCACTTTTTTGTCCAGTGCAGTGTTTTATAGGTTGTGTTCAGTTCCTCTTTTCTTGTTCATCCTTGCACTGCACTGCACTGCACTGCACTGCACTGGTTCATCTTCTGCTTCACCATCTTCCTCTCCCTGCTCTATCAGCTTCCATGTGTCCTTCGAGGTCCATTCATTGTCTTGTTTCCTTTTCTTCCTTCCTAATACGGTTGTGCAGGTTTCTTTCCACATCTCTTTCAAAGAGTTCAAGTGTTCTTCTACACAGGTTTTTTTCATGCATCTCCATTTTGTCCTGATGACTGACTGACGTAAAGATGTCGTTTGTAGTTTCGTCGTTTAGTTTCTTTTCTGGGTGTTAAACTTGAACTTCGAGGCTATTGGGGACATCATGATTGTCACTCGAAAACTCAGTGTGCTTGTGAATGTCGTCTGGGTGATAATATCGGAGTAGATTATTGACTCCCTTGCAGTTGACAGTTTTGGAGATTCCACTTCTATTCCATCTGGTTTCGCAGATTCCTAGCACTTGATTTTGTGACCGTCTGGACAGATTATAATCATTATAAAAACGACCTGTTTAGAAATATTAAGGAACCGACAACCGAACAAGAATATTGAACCTTATGACGCGGTATGCGTTATCCATGTAAAACTCAGAACAGGAGGTATTCGTTTTAGTCTAGTAACTTGGTGAAAACTTGGGTATGTTATATGTTTAGGCGAAAATGAACTGAGAACATCGAATCAGTGAAAGGAGTCAAATATATCTCACTAAACATCACCACCTATCAGGTTTCAGCAGAATTTTGGTGCAGTTTTCATTCAATAAAACTTGATTAGGAAAAAATAAATTTTATTTCTTATTCATTTACAGGGTAATTCAATTCTTATTTTTATCCAACAATGTCATTACAATAAGGGAAGTTCAGACTAACCCGAAAACAAACTAAATTAAGGACTTTTGGAAACCACGTAAATACACAGTACGTAGGACTAGGTATGCGGCTTGGACGCCGTACTCTTTTTTGGGAATGTTGGGTCATGTGGGATTGGCTTTGGAGGTGGGTCAGGAGATTTGAAACGCATCCATGCGACTCGAGCACGATCCCAAAATGCACCGAAGGAGTCTAATGCAGGCCGGACATCCAATATGGCGAACTGATATGCTTCATCCACAGAACCCCCATCATAGTAGTCAATGACATAACGGACCTCCTTTCCACAACGATCAACCAACCAATCATGACGATCAAACGGTAACTCGTATCTACAAAAAAAGTATCAAGTAGAAAAATATTGCAGGACTCCTCCATAAGAATGAATTTAAGATGTGCTTTGTTTTCCTTTGTGATAGACAATTGAAAAAACCAAGAATAGCCAACTTTCACGAAGTGAAAATGCCACAGCTTCGGATCCACGAAATAATGTACATAAACATCCCTAAAACCTTGTTGAGCTAACTTTCTAGTGGTTTACGGCTGTTCTTGCAGACACATCATTAGAATAACCTTACGTACCTAGCTAATAGTTTCATGAGTTTGTAAGTGTATGCATTGCAGACAAGTGGTGATCAATACGTTTTCTAAATTAACACCAACACAATTACATATGCAAATTACGAAGAAAAATTTCGATTCTCAAGAAAAAACGTCCGAAAAGTATGCCAGCTGTGTGAAAAATTCCATTTTTTCTAAAGAACAACGAATAACCTACAGAGAGTGGATACAAGTACGCAAAATATCATCATTTATCACTAATTTTATGAAAACAAAATAACCCAACAATATTTGAAAATGACTTCAAAAACATAAATGATATTTGGTGAAAAGCTTTGACTCTATACTCTTCATAAATGTTTATAAATGTAGGCGCATTACTGCAGCGCCTGTCGTAAACCAGCCTCCTTCTTAGACAAACTGATGAGAGATGATGAGTGCGCGCACATATATTTATCAAGCAAATAACAATGAGGTCTAATTGACACAAGAGAAACATGGTAAGGAATTTGCGAGAATCAACTAATTGTTAAATACTCAGTGCGAAATGACAGATGCACTTATCTCCATTCGCTTGGTCGTTATACGCACTTTACCATGATAACAGTTACCGGTACCCTTGAAAACCCGTAGTTCAAAGTTTGAGAATTAAACTGTGCACAAAATTCAATCCAGCCAATAACATCTACACAGGAAAAGGAGAAAAAGCAATCTAGATTCTTAAAGCTCGAGAAATGATGAGGGAAAACCCTGAGTTTCTGAAGTCATGAAGGCAACTGGGATCAATAACTTTTACGAACTGTACTGAATAATTAAGAAGATTGCTAAGAATAAGAAACTGCTTATTCGTTAGCAAGTCATATGAAAAGACCAAACAGAAGTCTGCCCACATAGGAATAATGCGAAAGCATACAAGATGGCAACGAATAAAGAAGAGAATAGTGGCCTTTAGATTACTGAAAGCCAAAGGAGGAATAACGTTTGGACATGTTCTTTCGGAATGCAAAGTTTCGGTTTGACCAGCATTATTGCAATAGCCACGGGTATGATAAGCAGGTGTTAGCAAGTTACACATGGTACAGTTTTTAGAAAACTATATATGACATTAAAAGCTATATTAATACCTATGTGACGATTTATTAAGAATATTCTTCATCCAAACTGTAGATTCTTATCAAGGTTACGGGAATCTTTAAATGTTTGAAAGCCTACAATTTAGCAAATACTTGAATGGTAAGATACAGACAGAAAAATAAAAGATACTGTTCTACTATCAAGCAGTACCAAAGAACAAGAAGTAAGGCTCAGATATAAAACTTAAAGAACCAAAATAAAATACTAAAGCACATCATCATCACAGTATCCAGCTTCGATATTTCATCTCCAAAATACTAAATGAGACGACCAACACCCCTGGACAGAAAAATAAATAATCTCATCAAAACAAGATGGTTTTAATGGCTGCGTGAAAAATACGTCTATCTGCCAGATCTTGCGAAGAACGTGTAAATACCTGTAGTCAACCTAAATGATCAGAAAACGAAAGTTCAAACCGTCATAGTACACTCAATCATACTTGAAGATAATCCTTTAAATAGCTATCCGGAAAGTGGTCGTAGTCGGACATCCTAACAGACATTATAACAAGCTCCACGGACTACAACACCTGTTTTTTTTTAGATCTAACCATGCTGGATAGCGACTGGTGAGCTGCATCAGCCTAGGAAGGCTGGTCGCTGACAAAACCTGAGGTTGGATGCTAAAAATCTATTCGGTATTAAACAACTTACGTAGTCTCTGATGCCGGTGAGATACTCGAATACCTATCAAAATGATGAGTATTCGGTGCTGCTATCGGCCCTGTTCTATTATATCATATTATATTGTAGTACTGTGAGACCCAACCGTTAAAAGTAGAAGATATCAACAGGTCATAGCCATTTGAACACAGCTGCCTTCGCAAAACTGCTCACAAATGGCGGAATCACTGTGTGAGTAATGTCACTTGCTCTTGCTTGACTCCAACTTCACACATTAAGAGAGAATCATCTTTCTTAGCATCATCGATAGACATAAATAGATCATATTCCTATAAGCCATCATTGGAAGTAACCCGTTAAGGATTGGTGCTCTTATCAGAGTACCTGCTGATCATGCACGTTAATACAGACACGTATATGCTTGTGTTTTCAGGCGTGAAAGGAACAAAAATGACAGTGAAGCATCAGTCTGCATATTTACGCAAGAGACAGCAAAGCATTTATCTGAACATGAGAGTAATCCCTTACCTGTTCATGCCTGGTGTAATCGACGGTCTGTTGCACGAACAGCGGTAAAGACAATTGCTAACAAACATCTATAGGTTAACGAATGCCACAAACTCATCCAAACTAAATGATCCGAAAAGACTTATTCCAGCTGGTTCTGGCTGTCGCCCTCATCCTGAATCTCATCACAAGGAGGAACGGTAACGGTTTAAACGTAGATTAAACAAAAGTCCCTCAAATGACCAACAGTAGTGGTGGGTGGCGAAAGCGATTGAGAAAACAACAACGTTAGGTAATAAGCAGTATAGCAGTAAAACACAGCTTCTGTTGTACATTGTAATTCCATTTTAGTCTGCATCACTGTGTGATATATCTAACAGGTGGTAAGTAGGTACTCATGAACTGGTGCCATGTCCTAGTCTGGCTACCCTAAACCCTCTTCAAACCTAATCCAGCTTCCCCTACCATGGCACGTCAAGGTAGACGGTGACCCGGCATCTGCAATACATGTCCAAGCCATCTCAGACGAAGAGGTTTAACAACCTCAACAAACGAGCTGCATACATTCTTCACGTTACCTAAACAATGCTCTCACAGTGATCCCACCAAACGCGAGCAATGCTACGTACGCACCTGTGATCAAAAACCTGTAGCTGCTTCATGTCTACTAATTTCAACGGTCATGTATCACAGTGGTGTAACAAGGCGAAACGGACTGCAGTGCATTATACTCATCCTTTAATAAATAGTCGGTTACGAAACTTGGCAAATGCCAAACGGGCCTTCTATATCCAAGGTAAGATTTCATCAGGAAGCAGACCATTCGGGCTGATGTACCTCCCCAAGTAAGTGAAGTGATCGACGCATTCCACCATTTCATTCGCCATCATTCAACTAGGAGTACTCGGAGCAGACCAGTACTGGGGCATCCATCTTACATTTGACAAGTGCCAGCGAGATGCATGCCAAACATACTCAGATTTGTGCTCAGCGCATTCACAAGACCCTGCATTTTGTCACCATCTTCGTCTAGCAGAACAATATCATCAGCATTCTCCAAGTCAACCAGATGACCTCCAGGGAGTGGATCAATCAGTGTGAAGTCAGACGTACATAGGATTATGTCCATTATTACGTCTATAACGAAGTGAAATAGAAACAATGAGAGTAGGCGTCTCAGTTGGACACACTACTTACTGTTGTCAGTTCTGATGACGCTTCTGGTATAGCAGGACCTCGAGGGAACAGGCGTACTAGTCGGCGTTGCACGTTGGGTCACTGTGATATCCAAGGCCAAGCACCACGTCAAGGTAGCGACAATCAGTCAGGACCTATTAAAGTACGAGTATACGGTGTTGATATCTGCCCTGTTCTATTATACTACTTTGAGATTCGACCGTTAAGCGTAGAAGATATCAACAGGTCATGGCCATTTGACTACAGCTGTCTTTACACCACTGCTCACAGATGTCGGAATCACTGTGTGACTAATGTTGCAGGAAACGAGAAGACAGACGAACGAAGGGATGTTTATTATCAACAAGTGGTACGGTAGTCATCATATATTGTACACTTTCCACCAAGACAGTCATTTAGACAATGTTCTTCACTTCCACCTTTGCTTCTATCTCGATTTCCTCTTAATTCGCACACATTGTCTCTTCCATTTCTCTGGGTAGAATCTTTACCTCTTGCTGGTAATTCCCTATGACTTCTGCCGCCCTCTCAACACATACTACTGCTTATATCCATTCTGATCAGCACCACCCAATACACAACGACCATCACCAGTGCTGGGTGATGAAAGTGAAAGCGAAAGAGATCGGGAAGACATCAGCGTTAGGTAGCAAGCAATATTGTAGTAAAACTTGGTCTCTGTTATACATTGCAATTCTATTTTAGTCTCCATCACTGTGTGACACATCTAATAGGTGGTAAGTAAGTACTCCTCAACCATTCAAGCTTACTAAACCTACTCGCAAGAAGAAGAAGACGATAGTTAACGAAACTATCACTGAAAAGAATGGCTTCCAGATAACCTATCAAAACGGGTGGCTAGAACGTTGAGCCGAACACTCTGGGGAACAGTTGAACTGCTCAGCAGCCACGCTTCAGTTGCACACCATCCAGTCCGAACATGAATGCATTGTAGGTGTCAGTCCCTTCTACAAATAATCTCCTCAGAGTCAGAAGGCTGTTTCAAACCTGAAATGATGCAAAGTATCAAGGTCAAACAGTTAGCCACCAGAAGCGTTCACGCATGAAGGTAGAATATTACACAGTGGGGGAACCGACGTATTAACTGGTTGGTGCTTTCAAGTCACAGGTAGTCTCATCACACAGGTGGACATCGTTGATCATATCATCCAGACTATGGGAAGGAAGAGACGTTTCCTTGTGACAACCATACGGCGATCAGTCCTACTAACTTATCTAGGATATTCGAGTCCATGGTTATGGGATGCTTAATTAGAGCTGGTGAACGACAAACTCGAATAAACCAGGCACTTTGCAGACCTGCGCGAAGGTGCATCAGTTAAATATCCACTCATCAACACCTTCCAGAACACAGGTGGGTATACCTCACTTACTGGTGTCCGACAGTTGCCATATTTCTTGACCAGCATTCAACTCTGTCAACCATGAGGTTAGAGGAGGTGTACTAGGCAAGGAAGGCAAGTGCGTCAACAAGCTTATGGACCTTCATCGACTAAGTTGTTTCGGAAATGTATTGCGTATGCAGGGTTATCGCCTATCTCGATGTCCAATATTACCTGAAGTAGGACTCGGTTGGGAAGAGGCTGAGGGTTGCCGGACCAAAACTTAGCACTAATCCATGAAGTCATCGACCCCTGTTGTAAGCGGTGTCGAAGTGCTCCAACTAATTGAAAGTAGTTTTCGCTATAATATAGATCAATGGTTGGAGACCCCTGGTAAAATACATTGAACTTAGTCTCAGTGACGGAGATATATTTCCTCTTTGACATCAGTAGCTTCATTAGTCTCACTAAACTACATTCAGATTTTCTCTCTCCTCCTCTAAACTTTTGTCCATTTCGATATCAGTCTCTCCTATCCACATGTTCTTTGTATGCTGCTGTGAAGTGTAGCAGCTTGAACCAACGCACTTCTTTGCAGGGTTCTATGCTGATTTCGTCCGGCTGCTTGTACTTCATAAAAATTCAGTTTCCACATTCACTCAGCTTTGCCAAAAAGATGCCTTCAAAGTTGCACCTGAAGATAGACTAATTAAACACTGTTTACTTGACTGGAAGGCTGTAAAAATATAATACAGTCTTGCTAACGTGTGCCACTGAGCACAAAACCTAGGTTTCAAGCTTCTTATTGACTGCCTTAAACCAACTAAAATCTATAACAGTGGTGAGTCTTTTGGCTCAGTGGTCAATCAATAGTCGACAAAAATTGTCAGCACTCAGGATATGAAAAACATGAAATTGATTACTCTCCAGTGATCGATCGACAATCTTCTGAATTCTTTTGAAGGTTATGAGCAGATATTCGGGAATGTTTGATGTGTTTTGAATCAGTTCAGAGTAAAGTACTGCTTTATGACTGGTCTTCATCAGTACTTGATGTGAGTATGGATACAGAAGAATCATATTTACGTTTGGGGAATTCTACCACTTATAAGATTGGCATAATATAAAAAAGTTTATCAAAATTACAGTACAATAGAACGGGTTCCATTTTTTCTGGGACACACAAAAGTTTAGTCATCTAACTCGCTATACCTGCCAAAAAAACGGAAGGAGGAAATAAGCAGAAATAAAATGATACTAAGATTACCAGAGAAACAATAGGAAAGAGTAGAATAAAATAAGCCGAATTAAATTAAGATTCAAAAATTTTCACGACGATTAGTAGTGGACAAATCTGTTCCAATGCTGCCGATTGTAAGGCGTTACCGAATGTCCAAACTTTGGTTCCTAACACAGAGGAAAATATTATGTTACCCCATATTTCTTAACAGCACACGAACTAACTATGTACAGGACTACGATTTGTCTAAAACAAATTTTCTGGTAGTCGATTACTATCTGTACTTTCTGTAACAATAAACTTCCCGCTCATCAGGTTTGTCATCTAAATGTTTGCCGATGTTTGATTCAGTATATTAGAGGCAGCGAAGATGCATCATTTATACAAGCCTATTGTAGGAAACAAATTTCCAGAGATTTTGATCTCGACTTATCATGAAAGTCATCCTTTTTCTGAAAATACAAAGATAATTTCCTCGATTGCACTGGTGCCAACGTATCGCTAGTCATCTTATTAAAAACCACAGTCGCTTGATTGAAATGTCTTTTGTTTAGGAACCTTTATCACGTCATATTCTAAAATGTTGCTGAGGACACTTGGAGAAACATTATAAATTTTTTTTTTAAATGACGTACCCCATTGTATGCCTGATTCGTGCTCTCGGGGAATAATTTTTTGCATCTCCGGCAAAACGACGTAATTTAGGAGTCATACATTCACTGGAATAAGGACATAAAAAGTAAAGGTAAAAAGGTTATTAGAAAGCTTGATATGTGATACATTTGATAGAAATGAAACTATAGTCTATATTGTCAAGGAATCCGCTATTAGGCTTAAGATTACGCTAAATCTAAAAACCTTTGACAGAGGGGTCAGTTTTAATTAGCATGATTACCAAACTTTCTCGCTCAGCAGTGAACTCAAACCTTACTATCACTTAAGAAACTCAACGCAATATACGTCAAGAAACAAGCCACAAGAAAGAGTAGGAAATAAGAAATTAGAAGTAACAGAAAACCTGAGAGAATAGAAACAGTAACATAGGAAGAAGCTTCCATCACTTTTCATGAATAGACGATAAATAAACTACAATAAGATCACGACTAATTTCCATTTATATCCAACAATATCTCAGATCACTTCCATCGATGATCACCTTTAAACTGTCTTCAGAGAGATACGATGAATCAACAGATCACAAAACAATACAACTATCATTTATCTTAAAGCTCCATGTGTACTGACTGCTTTTCTAATTGTTCCAGCAAGTTCAGTGATTAATGATTTAAGATATCATTGAACACCATGCTGACTATGTAGCCAAATCCAGGAAGGTGGTGTTTTATTGAATCTGGTTGCGAGATGTTACATCAAAAAAACAACTAATTTTAATGAACTATTCACCTTACCACTGAAGTCAACTGTCATAATGAACAGGTATGATAAGACGCAACATCTACTGAACACAGATCTGAATGCACCTTAAATAATGCTCACTGTATTTGGACGTACAATTTACATAATCTTACACATGTGTTATTAGACGATCAGTGATGGATTCAATAAATTCTATGCCTTGAAATCATTAAAGCCAGACTTATTTCGCCAAATAAATATGATGGTTGAGATTCTTGTTCTGACTAACCTTATCAATATGTTAAGTGCAATTTTTAGACGCCTAGATTGAAAAACTCCAATCATGGAATATTATTAAATCAACTAATCTAAAACACTAAACCATACAGAGACTTGGATGTACTGAACAGAAATTACATGCACAGGATGTAAATTTCATTAGCAATAAACTGTAAAGAGTTCATTATTACTTCCTCGGAATCTATTCAACTTTTCTACTCGATGGAATAAGCACTCACTTAGCGTGGAGAGCCTCCCATTTTAAAACTTCACGCCATGCAATTTCATTGTTCACATTATGTATGCGTATGATGTTGTTCATATCCTCAACTTTAATGTCATCGTCTCGCCATCGCCAACCTTTTCGAAGCATAGCATTCCAAAACATTTGGGCTGAAGGATACATCCACTTTTCACCATCCGAGCGATCTGCCTTTGGAATAGAAGATACCTCGCGTTCGGTAGATAGTTGAAACGGTTGTCCGGGACTCGGGACTTGATTAGGGGGTGGCATCTAATGATATTGAGGCAAAAATATACAACAGAGTTTCAGGAATTATCGACGACATCTTGCAGTGGGAACCAACTAATTAGTAGAATATGTTTTAGTTTAATGTCATAACTATGTTGTTTTTTCTAGGCATGTTTGAAGTTAAGTGAGACCTTCCATTTGAGTGTTGGTTTTTATTAGTAAAAACTGCAGCTTATATTCTGATCAAACGGTATACTCAACCAGGTGTAGATTCGTGCATTAGGTATTGAGTGGCAGTTACTGCGTGAGAGCTAATGAATGATAGCATCTGATCGCCTAAACCTCAGTAGGTAGAGTGGTGTTAGGATTCGCGAACTACTGACCGAAAACGGAGTCTAGACAAATAAACCACAAGGAATCTACGAGCAACATCATGAGCCGGTATTTTAGCAGACAATATTTTGCTATTAAACCAAGACTTTCTTGATTCCCACTACTAGGTGCTGCTTTGCTGGTCTTATAATATTCTGAGACCTTAATTTTGATTCAGCCAGCTCCTCAAAATCATATAAGCTTGACAGTAACATCATATTTCTCGGTCAATGCTGGATGCTAGTAAGCTGCACTACCATAAGTGAACTTTATTTCGAGTGGCCTTCAGTTCTCATTAACAATAATTACCATAAAAAAGCATCTAACTAAATAGTAGCACACGAAACAAATGAAAATTGTTTCTCAAAGCTTGCATTCCACATACATAGATGAAATCTGTTCCTCATTGTGTTACTTCTTTATCTGAATATTGAAAATACTGACCCCAGTGATTATAGTTATTGATTTCAAGTTGGTATTCATCATGGACTGATATCAGTTGGAGGAATACCGGAAACCCAGGAGCACTGAACAGCTGTTTCACCGTAGCGGTGCGAACTCATGACCCCAACCTCCAGGGTCGGACCCAGGGCCTTCAGGTCCCATAGTCAACACATTATCATTGAGTCACTGGGCCGCAACTAGTGGTCCACATTTCCTACTTCTGTCAGTCCACAATATAGCGCAACCCCCATCCAATGTCGTCGCTGAGTAACTGTCCTTCTCGTGCTCGACTTGGTTGGCTCCACCCCACTACTGAGGAGTCTGATACTGGGACGAAACAGCGTTCACATTATCTCTCCAACTGATGTCAGTCTATGATGAATACCAGCTTGAAACCCAATAAATAAATCCCATGCTGATGTTTGTATTAACTGAATGACACGACTATCTAAGGGATTTCCCTTCAGTTACACAATCTCCTGAAACAAGGAGTTCCATGCCATACGCAAGTCAAGGTACGTAATCAGGGTGTGTCAACAGTATCATCATCAACGGAGGCTGGTTAATCCATGGGACCTACCTTTTTTGTAAGTTTCACGTTTTATGAACTAAATGAAAGTGTAGAGTGGTCAAAACTTTACAATGTAATCATAAAGCGAATTGTCTACCTCTGGATACATTACAGCGAAACATTTTTGGTACCTCATATCCAAAACAATGCCCAAGTCAATCTATCTATTAATTCTTAGTCAGTATCATTAACCGTTTCTGGAGGTCGATAACCAGGTCCCGTTACTCTGTCCTGTTCAAGGTTAACGATAGCCCTCTTAAGTGCGATAAGGTTGGAGGGATCTAGGTTGGTTTCTAAATGAGGCTGAAGGTAGATAGTCAATATTATTATTTGCCATTAGAACATGAACATGGTTCAGCAAGCGCACCAAGAAATGCGCTACACTATGATATAACATTGAATGCATAGAGCAAATGAAAGTAAAAAAAAGCGCAATAAGCACAGGATGATTAAAAAAGGAGTTTAATTAGATACGTTCAAGACTAAACACCCATTACTTCTCAGAAGAAGATAGGAGGAGGCTACAGCATGACCACCACTGGTTTCCATTCTCAGCTATATCTGATAACAACTCAGGCGACTGAGTTGCGTGACCTTGCGGACCCCACTCAGAGACTCACGATGCACTTACAGATGTAAACCGGATACAACTATCCTTTATCCCACAGCGCTATGTCATACATTGATCATCCCTGTGCTTTTTCCATCCAGTCCCAGGGCTACCAAACAGTAAATGGTATGGAAGGCCGTTGGGACGACATGAATAACATATTTCCAGGTCACCGAAGCCAGTGTTTTAAGATGACTTCACTTATTGAATGACGATGTCCATCATCCTCAAACACACGCTGTCATACCTCAGAATTACTTACAAAATGTTGCCACCAGATACAAGCACTCCTACGGAGAAAACGGTGATGGAACACACAGAGTCGTCGCATATCCTCAGCTCGGAGAGGCCAGGTTTCACAGACGTGGAGCAGAACTGCTCGCACGGAAGCGCCATAAACCTAACATTTTACAGTCAGACTAACTTCGCGAAAGGTGGCCCAGATTTACGTATCCTACTCTGGACTTCGATATGCGGTTAGAAATCCCATCGCTGACAACTCCACCAGCACTCACAACTACCCGAACATACAAACTTTTGGACTACTTCCAAAGACCCACCACCGAGGTTGAGCTTAGGTACAGGCTCCTGTCAATCCTGCAAATTACTTAGCAATTCGACAGTGCAAAGTACTTACGGATAATCGACAGCAGAAGGCTCCATATTGTTCTAGTCCGTGCTGCAACTGTTTGTTCCACAAGTTTACCTATGATTTGTTTTCTTTGTTGACACCCAGTGAAGTATATTTTTTCTGTTCAGTCCTTTTATTTAGCAGAATATTCCCAACTGATCACTACCACTTTGATCTACCTTACATATTGTAGTGACTCAGAGAGCGCAGTTGGAAAGAACGATTGTCCCTCAAGCACTATCTGAATGGCTTCGTGTCGATAGTAGGATTTTTCACATAGGGATATAAACACAACAAGTCCCAAAAACCTTTAGGATGTCATATTTGACTGGCCTCACGCAATTCTGATAACCCGATCGAGCTTTATACCCAGAGTTGACCAAATGTTCAAGAGTTGGACTGTTAATTGATTTACATTCTCCCCTTGACAAATATAGCTGAAGATTGGCCATAATGGTGCAGATGTATTCAATCTTTGATATCTTCTAAGGTTTGAATATTTTGACTAATCTTTATCCTCAGATTGTTTATATTCTCTTATACACCTTTGTCTACTTTGATATTAGTCTTTTTCTGTCCACTTGCTTTTTGCATGTTACTGTTAAGTGTGGTAAATTAAACCGATATATTTTTACAAGAGGTTCTACGTTGATTTTGTGGCACAAACTACTCTGTACAAATTCGATGGTGAATGGTAGCCACAGCAACACTCATATACTATATATTAATGGAAGGATAGATTCTGCACGTATTTCCTATATTAATAGATAGAGGATGATTCAGTTGGAGAGACCGTTAGACTTAACAAATAATATTATGGAATACAAGAGAAGAAATGTATCACCAAAAATCTAACTATTTCTGTCAACATTAAACCTAGGGGAACATGGCTCTTCTCAGTCTTCACAGACGTACTAGGATGCAATCAAACGAAACTGTCGGAGAAACACTAATACAAAGGGTTCACGATAAAGTGAAGTTCAAATAACAACCTGAATTCTAAGCATTCATTCAATGCATATTTCTATTTCCTTGACAGAGCTTACTAGGAAAGGTAAGCTTATGTGTCTATATTTCGTTGGGTAGTTAGTTTTGCCGCTCCCTAAAACTGTGGAACATTTACTGAGCAAAGATATCATATAAAGCATTTAGGTGCTATGGGAAATTGTTGAATTCCACTCCAAATAAAACACTTATTTGATGTTAACAGAAGCTCTTTGATTTCATGAGATGAGTTCTTTACAGAAAAATGTAGGAGGTATGGGCATTCATCGGTTCAGTTATTTTGACGACAAGCATAACAATCGTTACACAGTTATAGTAGATTCTGTGTTAAAATTATTTCATGAGTGCATACGGGACTTGGACAATTGAAAATAAGGTTGAATCACTTGAAGTCGAATTTTCAGAGTAGCTCTTAGCCATTAACAGAGGGATGTAGTTCACACTGAGATAAGATTGTACACTTGACAGTAATGTCTAAGAGCTGATCAAGAAAAACCTAAAAACTGTTGATAAGATTAACATATTCATCTTCAGATAATTCGTTGGACGAATAATGTTTTAAAATGGAAAAGAATCATCTATCTACAGCGATTTCATGACACTTACAGCAGATTGAGTGGTATCGATAATCTTTTGTTTCTGTAACAAGATGAAATAAATAACTCTAAATATAATGAAGTTTACATCACGTTAAGTCAGTCACCACTTACTCAACAACCATCAGAAACTGTAATGATATCGGGTACAGACACAAAATGACTTATGACTTAGCATAAATGTACATCGGTTCAAGTTATTCTGCTGCTCAACAATATAAATACACAAAATCAATGGAAACATACTACCATTAGATGAAATTAATTTCACTTTTATTTGAAAAAAAATACTCTTAAATGAAAAAAACGTTTTTTTCACTATAATTTATTTTTGTAATTTAAGGATGGGACGATAGTAAAATAAGGTCATTCTATCCAGAAACTGGCAGATTAATGTATACTATACAAAATGCTCACAAAAAAGGAGTAACTGCACTGTGCACCACGTCAACATGCGATCGCATAATCAGTGGTGGAGGTGAGGGTCAAGTACGGGTATGGGATGTCAAAGAAACTCTCCCACCAAACAATCAACTACACCGATGTCGACAAAAACGTACAGAGAAGCATAATAGTGATGGGTCTGAAGGTATCCCGGAATCTACATTCGCCAGTGTTCTAGTGGCTGCAATGTATGAACACACGAATGCCGTTTCATGCATTCAAATAAGTAAAGACGATAAGTCATGTGTTTCTGCTTCAGCAGACTCCACGTGTATTATTTGGTGTTTGGAGTAAGTTTTTCCCTTTGTAGAGTATTTTGTTACATATTTTTAAATTGGAATAAACATATTTAGCTGATACTTTTGACTGACAATTCAAAAGTAGTATAAGCATGGTGGACTTAAGGCGAACGGTCAGTTTTCTCTGTTATTAATACCTGGTTGAGTACTTCGCAAAATGTCGATCATCAAAATGAAGCGCATACTTTGTAAACAGTAGGAGATTGGGAGTTTCATAACAATAGCAGTAAGAAGCCGCACCAAGCTGAAAGACATAATAACAATGAAATTTAGCATATGTTTTGTTCGGAGACTGTTATCTGGATGTATACGTGGTGGAGAATATTTGTAATTCAGGTGGATGTTCTTGGTTGTATTGTGTTCTCTGAGTTGGGCTATTCAATCGTGGAGGTTTCATTGTCTTTGTGGACGATATCATCAGCACTAACTTCAGTATGAAGTGAGCTGTTAATATCTCTCCGTGGGTGATTCAGTAGCTTGCCATGACGAAGTGGTTTTTGATTGGTTGTTTCCTTTGATTGTTGTGCAACTGACTGCATAGATTTTCTTGTTGGCTGATAATGTCGTCTAGGAAGTTGATAAAATCTTCACGATTAAACAACCCAGCCAAGAAGACACAATACAGCCAGGATACATACGTATAATGCTGAGACTCTGCTGGGGCTTGAGTTTGATAACTTTCACTTTAAAAATGATTGACTAGGTTGCGTACTTAAAATGTCTAAAAAAGGACTATAAAAGAGTCAGATATTTTCTACGTAACGCTGTTTTACAGGACTAAATAACACTTTTAATTTTGCGCTTTTCTGCTTCAGAACATTCCGTCGAAAACAGATTCTTTTCTCAAATACGTTATTTCGATGCATCTGTTATCATCCAACTGAATGTCAAATCATCACATCTGGAACAGATAGGAAAATAGGCTATTGGGAAGTATACGATGGTTCACTGATTAGACAACTGGATGGTTCCCGGTCTGGATCCATCAATGGAATGGATATTACAACTGATGGTGATACATTTGTCACAGGCGGGAATGATAAACTTGTCAAGGTAAGACATGAATGTAACTTTCATTGAAATTAGTTGCTTGATGTACAGAAGAACAGGTTTAGTGGTGAATTGGATTTTGCACAGTTTATAGTATAAATGTTTCATGGATTAATTCGATGATTCAGTATACACTATTCAATCGATTAACCAGACGGTTTGACGCTTGATTTACGCAAATGCAATACAGTAATAGATAAAAAAAAAGCTTTCAGATCTGTAGTGAACCACACAAGAGAAATTATAACACATTTCTGGAGCAGAGGTTAATATTGAAGCAGAACTACTCACTCTTAGAATGAAGAAAATTAGTGGCAAAAGTATACAACAAACACTTCTACGAGTAGTTAGGCATAAAACCAACTAGGTTCATTTTTTCCCACGGGGTTTTAAGGACAGATGTTTTACCAGTTATTATTTTCTATCAGTGTTTAACACAGAAATACTGCCCGTGATTTTGAGATTAGGACATGATTCAGTCTTTGAGAGACCGTTTTCCAAGTTCCGAAAACCAGCCAAATAGTAAGTAATTATTAATACATTAGTCAGAAAAACATCCTTTGTAATAAGTACAATAAATTCTTTTTGATGCGTCATTCATTCCTACTTCATAATATTGGCAGCTTCATCTAACTCAAACGAAGTTTGAGAGCCAACCTCACAATTTCACGTCCGTATTTAAAGGTTTCTTTGTATAAATGAGTATTAAAAGCCTGTAAAAAATCAAGCACGTGTATTCCCGAACCCTGACGAAATAGGAACGAAATTTCTAACTTCCTACGACCCAATGGAAACCAATTTTTCGAAGTATACAACATTCAAGTTATCAAGTGTAAAAATTAAATTAAAGTGGAACTGATACTTTAATAAAAAGTACTTTTGATGGCTCAAACAACACTATATCGGGTAAATAATTCGAAAAAAACATTACATCAAATCTCCAAAAATTATTTGAAAACTTTATTCGCATTTTACTGATGCTAGCCATAAAGCCTTAAACTGTCGCTATAAATCAGTTTGATTCAAATTTGGATATATCTGACAACTGTGAAGGCAGTGTTTGATTCTGATGTCAGCATTGTGTGGCCCCTACATCTTGGATCGAGAAGTCAGCTTCACCTCACGTTAGGTACAGTAAAATTCCAGCCATGAACACATCATTAATGCATGAGGCTTAATTAGATGAAGCAGCTCTGAAGATAACACCTAAACAGATGTTAAAAAGTGCTATACAATAAGATGAAAGCCCCAAAAGAAAAATTACAGCAGCCAAATATATACCACTATATCAAATTGCTTTTATCAAGATTTTCCTAAAACTGTTGAATATGCAAATGGTATCACAAGACTTACGAAGTTATAACGTATATTCCTTACTATGGATATTTAAATACATAAAGTCGAAGGTATTAAAAGGGAATATCATAATGACAACACATCGTACACTCGCATAAAAGACAATCCATAAGCGATATGCGCAGGTTCATGCGAACTATTTGACGTTAAGGTAAGTAAATGTATTATGCAGATTGGAAGAATAAGAACTTTTATTTACCGCTATATTTTGTCAGATTTGTAAATTTATGCATAGTATACAACTCTCAAATCCGACCGATATGAAAAGTTTTGGATTAAACAGATGCTTGTGAAGCGATTTCATATCTAGTAGGAGTTCTAACTGAAAAATCAGAATTGATTGAACAGATATTTGTAGATAGCCTTACAGGTTAAGCAATGGAGCGATAGTGACGGCAATTTTATCCGAAAAGAATACAAAATATTGGCTAATTAGTGTCATTCACCTTCATAGGCAGCATTAAACACGAGTGCAGTATAAAGTTTAGTGTTTGTAAACACTCGAATCCAAAACAAAGATAAATTCCGATAACCGTGGCTTTTCCAAACGATGATTATCTTTTGGGTAGTAAGTTATTCTTAAGCACTTTGACACAATATAAAACGCATGAATACTGGCTACAACAATACAACATTCACAGAAATTGGCCTGAAACAGAAATTACAAGGAAATCAACACATAGATATCCAGCTAATAACGGGATCTGAAATCAGTTGCTAGTACGAACAATAAAAAATGAATCAATATTTCTGCATAGAGATTTGATTGATGTTCTTATCGGCAAGCGACAGCTTGAAAATCTATTCAGTAACTTAGTACCATGATTAAGTCACTCAATGTCAACGCGAAACCTGATTTTCAGCCGCAACATTTCACAATTAGATATAAGGTTAGAGGACCCAGGAGAAGTAAATTAAAAGGATAAGATCAGAAGTTGTAGAAACCTACTGGATGAGAAGAAGAGGCGTTAAGGCAAATAATGAAGTGTGAAATAACGGTTAGGATTTTTTAAAAAGGTATGGATACACATCTGTCATGAATACTTAGCCATATCATATATAGTTTCTAAGCTTCACTTTCCGTTGGATAGAGAAGAAGTGATATCAAGTTAGAAAAGTATATGCAAAGGGAGACAGAAAGAAAAAAAGATGAGGGTAGGTGGGAACGTTAGAAATTTGGAGAGTGAATACACATGTGGCACTGTGATCGATTTTCAACCAAGAGACTAAAACGATAGATTCCTATTATCTCAAGAACTCCAGCCATACAATACACCTCCATACACACTTGAAACTACTAGTTAGAGACTTCACAGACTCGTGCCACATCTTGTTCGGACCACCTTCAGCCCTCCTCTAACCCAATCTTACTTTAGCTAATAATGCACGTCGGAGTAGGTGACATGGACAAAATATGTAAAAACCACCTCAGTCGATGAAGGTTCATAAGCTTATCATCAAATTTATTTATTTCCTTGCTTAGAAATCTCAACCTTACCTCAGGATCACTCACCGGAGATCCTACCATGCGCCAGCAATGTTACGAAGACACCTGTGATCATTTCATATATTTTACTTTCGACATAGACGAACAGTAGGATAAAGTGGATCCTTGTACGTTCATCGTTCCCAACTAAGGCAGAAAATAAGACAGGTTTCTAATGAGAGCTCTTAGTATCTCAGCAAAGAACAAAAGGGTTGCAGCAAGTAAAAACACATGAATTTGAAAAAAGTGAGATAAAACGAACTAACTTCATTTCGACGGTATCTAATCAACCGCTCACAACGTAAAATATGTATGTGCTTCTATCTCAGCTGGTAGGGTGATACATTATTAATCCAGAGGCCCCTGGTTCAGATCCTGCCCGTTTGCCAACTTGCGTCATCTATAGCGCCGACTGGAAAAATATACAGCTATCTATCAAAGGACGAGTATACTGCACTGCAGTCCGTTCTGTCATACTGTAAAACTCTTAGACATGGCCGTTAAAAATAGAAGACATAAAGCGGTTACAAGGTTTTGATCACAGATGTCTTCCTACCGTTGCTCGCATTTGGTGTAATCACCGTATGAACACTGGTGAGGTCAGATGAAAAGAACTAGGTAAGTCAATTGATGGGGTTGTGAACCTTCATCGTTCGAAATGGCTTGGACAAGTACCACGCATGCCGAGCCACCGCCTAATTCGATGTGTCATGCTAGGGGAGGTTGGAATAGGTTACAAGAGGGTTCAGGGTGGGCAGACCAAGACGTAGCACCAGTCGATGAAGTCCCTGACTGTTGGTTTGAGCCGTGTCAGGAGATGTAGACTACTTGGTTGGGGTCCCCCAGACGACAGGAATCAATGTTTGAGGATTCTCGGTAACATAGATGAAAATCAGTCACAATCATTCCTCTGTACCAGTGGTTCCAGTCTGCCGAATAACGGCTGCATCAGATAGTTCCAACTGTAATATGTAGTTTCATTGACAATTTAACATATTTAATTCACAGGGAGAAAACAGGATTTCAACCAACATTTAAGACGGAGAGAAATGGCTATAGCGTAGTGGCAAATCATAATGAAAAATCCACGCAAGGTTAATGAATGGTGACAAATTATCATAATTATATGCATAATACAACTTAAGTTTCCCGAATAAAAGCCGACAGAGATAGTAACCAATAAACTGAGTGAATTAAAATACGGGATGACGTAAGCCACTCAGTAGATAAGTAATGGAGCAAAACAGGCAAAATGTTGTGAGTTAGGCAGTTGGTCAAAAGAACTCTTCAGGAAATTGAAGTGAATTAGTGTGGGTATATTGCTGACTGTCGAACCAAAATCTACACAAAGACCGTGTGCACGTTTGTCCACTAGGCAATAGGTCATTACAATTTTATCAGAGCTAGTGATACTACCAAACTATCTAAACTTCCGTCGGTGGAGTGGTGTTCACATCAGTGACTCATTAATAAAATGTTCACTGCCTCAACCAAGTAGAAACAACTATAGAGTGCTTACTACAGTATTCTACGGGCATTTGACTTCGTCAAACCATCAGAGACTGACACCACTTCTTAGCCTAGCCATCCTGAGACTTCTCCCAACTCAATTCTACATCAACTAACAGTGCATAACAAAGTAGGTGACACGTACAACAGATGTACAAGCCATCTCAGCCGCTGAAAGTTAAAAACCTCATCGACTGAAGTGCCTTCCTTTGCTTAACTTCGAAATCGCTCACACAGTGTTTCCATCATATATGACCAGTGTTGTCAAGACACCTATGTTCGAAAGCTTGTAGTCTCTTCCTACATTATTCTCCCAACAGCTATAGGTCAACCATATAACAGGACAGAACAAACTGCGGGGCAATATTCCAATCTTTTGATATGCAATAGCATGTGGTTCCTCAGTGTGGAATTTCATTGGTAGCCAGCCCGTTCAGTTGATGCAACTCCCCAGGTAAGTGAAGTGGCCGACGCATTCGATCACTTCACTCCCAATCATTAGAAAATGGGCCGGTGTAGATGATACGTGAAGCGATGCCCTACATTTGACAGGTCCGGAAAGCACGCGGAACATACTCCGACTTCTGCTCGAGGTGTTCAGAATACACTGCATTTTGTCCGTCTCTTCAACTAGCAGGACGATATCGTCTGGCTACTCCAACTTAGCCAGATACCTTCCGGGGAGTAGATCAATCCCTGGGAAGTTAAATGTATTTAAGGTTATGTCTATTAGTACACCTATAACGAA